TTTCAAAACATCCTGAACTTCTGTTTTCTTATCCCCATAAGCATGAAACTTCCCCTTAAATCTCTTCCTTCTTCTCTGGACAGTGAACTCCTTGAGTGCAGGGACTTTATCTCTGCCATTCTGAATCCCACCGACCCTTCATATACCTTTAGGGGTTCTATAAATATTCTTGAAATTAATAAATGCACAAATGAAAATTTTGTTCTTTAAGACAAGGTCTTATTTTTTATTTTTTTATTTTATTTTTTAAGACAAGGTCTCGCCATTTTGCTGAGGCTGGCCTCGAACTTGTGATCCTCCTGCCTCAGCCTCCTGATTCACAGAAATTACAGGCCTGTGTCACAGCACCGAGCAGATGAGACCTCCTGCCTCTCAGGCACAGGTATGAATTGGAATGGATGATTTGTCTTCCAATAACTCTGCCACTCCACATCTAGGTCTCAAGTAAGTTACTTCAATGCTTTCTACCCGAGTTCTTTTATTTGTACTTACCTCAAAGGTAAACTACAAGCAGTAAGTGAATATATACATGTAAAGGACTTGGATATCTATTGTTGCAAGAGTATCATGCAGATCAAGAGTATTGGGGACAATATTAGATTTGGCAGCACACACTTATAATGCCAGCTACTCAAGAGACTGAGGCAGGAAGATCACAATTTCCAGACCAGCCTGGGCAACTTAACAAGACTCTGTCTAACTAAAATAAAATAAGGGTGGTGATGTAGCTCAGTGATAGAGCACTTACCTAACCCTCAGGAAGCCCTGGATCCATTCCCCAGTATTGAATAAAAGGCGGGGGGACCCTCAATATTTTTTTGAGTGGGAGAAACTAGACACAAAGTGTGATTCCATGAAGTTCAAGGACAGGCAGAATTCACAAATGAGAACTGGATTTCATGGCACAGACCTGTAATCCCAGCAGCTCAGGAGGTTGAGGCAGGAGGATTGCAATTCAAGGCCAGCCTCAGCAATTTAGCCAGGACCTGTCTCAAAATAAAACATAAAAAGGGCTGGAGATGTGGCTCAGTGATTAAGCATCCCTGGGCTCAGTCCCCAGTACCACCACAACACCACCAAACTACCAGGAAGATGGAGGTAGATCAGATTAGTAAGGGGTAACTGGAAAGAGTCCAAAGAAATCTTGGGTGCTGAAAATGCTCTGTGTGTTGAGGGTGCATCGTGGTTATACAGCCCAGTGTGTACATAGAAATGCATCTTAAATACGTGCGCATGCTGGTGTGGTGATACACACCTACACCTTGGAAACCCAGGAGGCTGAGGCAGGAGGATAAGGCATTTTATTGAGACTCTGTCTCAAAATTTGAAAAAATAAAAATAAAAAACATCAAAAAGGCCAGGGTTTGTAGCTCAGTGGTAGGGCACTCCTGAGTTCCATCCCCTGTACTGCAAAATAGATGATTAATTTTAAAAAATAAAATTTGTGCACTTTGGACAGGGGATGCAGCTTGGTGGTAGAGCACTTTACTAGGCCCTAGTTTCCATTTCTAGCACTGGAAAAAAAATTATATAAAGTACACAAATCTTTTTTTGAGGGGTCGGGGGTAACATGCTGGGAATCCAGCCAAAGGCCTTAGAGGTGCTAGGCATCACTCTACCACTGAGCTATACCCACAGCGCTACTGTATGCAATTTATATCTCATTAAAAAAAAATTTTTTTTGGTAACTGGGTGCAGTGGCAAACACCTGTCATCCCTGTAGCTCAGGAGGCTGAGGCAGGAGGATCACGAGTTTAAAGCCAGCCTCAGCAATGGCAAGGAGCTAAGCAACTCAGTGAGACCCTGTCTCTAAATAAA